ATACACCGTACTATGCTCTGCTGAGGCTGAGTACATGACAGTGCACATTAGCCGGATAGGTGCCGGGCGTCAGAAGGCGACAGACTTAATATTCGTGAGGGATTTATAATTTCGATCTCACCTATCGACATGGCCGCGCACATGTCCATTACTAGCGTTCAACATACATTCAACATGCATTCACAAAACGCAGTAAATAAACGTGTAATGATTGTGGCCCCCAAAAGAAAAATAAAACGATAGCTCCCACTGGCTTCCGGTCACTTGGACTTCGGGCTATCTCCATTCTTTTAGATTTCTTCAAACGGTCTTCAAATCTTTTCGTCTTCTAACCACCACGTGAGAAAAGAATCCTCGATTGAGGTAAGAGAGAGAAATAGATTTACAACAAGAGTTTATGAGATAAGGCACGACACGCAGGCCGTATTATAATCAAATAAACTATAGCCACAATCATCCACCATGCATATCATACATCCACACAAGCAATAGAGATATACATACACCGGGTGAACTGCGCTCACCCCAGACAGTTCTAGAAAAATACTACGGCAGTAAATATTTTCTAAAACTCATAAAATTAAATTAGATGTCCAAATAAATCAAATAAAATTTTATACAATCATTTTATATAATCTGGATATTCGGCCAGCATAAAAAAATTCCAGAATATTTCAAATGACCAAAATGCCCTTTTGCAAAATTATATTCAAAAGGCCATTAATATTTTGAAACAATTTTGCAAAAATCATAAAAATTAAATTTCAACTTCCAATAGTTATTTTTAACATTTATAAACCTAGAAATAAAATTTCCAAAATTTATAAATCATTATTTCCAAAATATATTAGTTAAATCTCAATAAGTTATAAAAAGCCATTTAAATTGATTTCGAAAATATTAAAGTACAAAAATTTAATATTTTGAAAAACATTCTTTTTCTTACTGAGATATAACTTTCCAAAATATATATTAGTCGTTTATGTAATTAAAATACAAATATATAAATATATATAATATTTCGGTAATAAAACCGAGTACATATATAAATATATATTTATTTAATTACTAACTAATATTATTTTGAACAATATATTTACCAACAACCTTATTCAACTTAGAAATAATATTTCCAAGTTTAATAAATTCAAAATAGGAAATAATACATTCAAAAATTACAATATAATTTTATCAATCATAAAATAATGTTTTATGTCCAAATAAAATTATATTTACTATTTCTACAATATATATAAATATATATTTCGAAAAATCAAAATATATGTATTTATATATATATTACGGGTAGAAATAAAATAAATAAATTTAAAATTCATTTTCAATGATTTATTTAAGTCCAATACTTATTCCAAGACTAAATAAAATCATTTTACCAATTTTTGAATTTTAATAATTACCAAGTTAAAACTTTGACTTTTAAAATTTTAAAAGTCAAACGTAAAACTATAGTTTTGTACGTTGGCTC